GCTCATCTAAAAACATAACAAGCAAGGTTATCTGGCATTCAGCAGTTCATGACCATGTGCGTTTTCCCTTTCCTAAGTGCCTGCCACTTTCAAAAATCTTGCATCAAAGATGACTTGCCTGTGTCACCAGTCCTAAGTTTGCTGTTCAGTCTACAACTTTTGAATTTTAACAGGCTTGGGTTAAAAATTTACGCTCAAGTTCACAGGAAGCAGTAGAAATCAACAATATTCCTGATCAGGTCATGGCTTAGGTGAGCTGCTCTCCTGCTGCTGTTACATTCCTTCCTTGAAAGGAAATGAAAAAAAAAGTTACCTAGCCTAAGAAATGCAAAGAATAGAAACATAGTCCTTAGGACTGTATAAACCACTGGTTAATCTGAACACAGTTATGTCCACTTTTGAAGAATACTTTGTTGCCTCACTCACAAAAATAAAGATATAAACAACCTGACTTTACTTAATGCTTTCTTTCTGGCTTGAATAGTTTTCAAAAAGCTTCAGCCATACTTCCTACTACTTAAAATCGTTGAGCATCAGTCTTGTCTCTAATACCCACCTTAATATATACACGAGGTAGAAGCATTTCTCTTTCCAGCATTTGTGTAAGAGGTGAATATCGTGGATTCATTTTAAAGAGGACAGATTTGGACACATACAGATGGATTAATGTAAGTCCCCAGTAGCAGACTGGGAGGACTGTCAGAGCTGGGAGGAGAGCCTGGATGCTCCAAAGTCCAGTCTGGAGTAACCATATCAGGTATTCCATGTGGGTCAGTCCCTCTTAGCTGCCCAAGACACATGTGAGAAGTTGAATGCTCTCAGTGTTCATTGAACTGCCTCATAGCTGTTATTACATTCTTGTGTGTCCTACTGCAGAGTGTGTCTGTGTGTATTTGACTGACTTGCAATGGGTCTGTCCCCCTTCTCTTCTGTTACTGCTCCCTAGTAACAGATTCACAGGAGCCATGTTCTCAAGTCTTTCATGTAGCTAGTACTGTGCAGAGAGTGAGATTTCAAATTGTATTCGGTTAAACTGAGACATGTCTACTGCTGTTTCTTCTTACCTGCTGCCACTCAGGTATAATGTGGGTTTCCCTGTCTTCCATGTTATGTCTACCAGCCCCAGACAGATGTCTTGAATATCCTACAGCGTTTAAAATGGCACCAAGTGCCTGTGTTTAGATAATTGAATGTCTTCCTCAGTCCCTTCTCTGCAGTGTGCATGGATCTGTGCTGTATTTCAACAGTTATGGTAGGGGATGTGGTCTGTACCTCTGGGACCATACATGAGGTTCACTAGAACTCCCAGGAGGTGCTCAGAGAAACTTGGGTCAGTTTTGTCATTTGTAGACCCACGGTTAAAGCTGCTCTAACTATAACAAAGTGGCAGCTTGTCTCATTGCAAATCTCCTGTCTTACCACTGGTTTGGGTTTATTTTCATGCAGCATTTCCAGCTAGTTTTATCAGAGCATTTTCTCTCCTTATTAGAATGTAAACTTTCTCGTAAATGCCTGTCTCCCATGGCACTAATCTGGTAAAACACTGCTGTAAGTTTCATTTTGTCTCCAACTGTGCAAATGACTGCCGAGGAGCAATTAGGAGTTGTAGCCTGAGCTCAGTGGAACATTAAATGCTGTAGTTTAGTAGTCACTTTGCTCCATTCTGTGCTCTTGCACAAATCTCTGCTAATCTACATAAGTAATATGTGCACAGGCTTCCTGGAACTGCACACATTTGCCATTTCGAGTTTAGTCTAAATACTCACCAATACTGTATTTTTAACACCTCACGTTGTACCAAAAAGGCAGCATAAAGGTTATCGAGTTCCTCCCAAAGCCAAAAAAAAACCCCAAACGGGTATGGGAAAATGCCACTAGCAATGTTTATCCAGAATGTAAAACCTGATATCAAAATAAGTCATATTTTTCTTGGATTCTGACCAAAAGAGAGCTGTCAACAAAAGAAAAGTATATAGGGTTAGAAGGGAGGAAGGCTATGGAAAAAAAAAAAAATAGAGTCCCTTTTGTTTTCCTTTTCCTGTGAGAAAGAGTCTTCTTAGTCATATTTGTAAGTCATGCAAGCTACTGGAAACTACCAGACCTTCACCTCACAAAACACATATCCCATTTTAAAATCTCAATGATAAGAATTTTAAGAAAAACCCTTTTGTTTAATCTTTGCCTTCTGGCTTACTTTGTATGTGAATTTGGAGATGCGTTGAACAGCAGCTCTTTTAGAGATTTAGAAATGCAAAATCTGCTTTTGCTGAAGCTGCCTCTGTGACAGCACATAAGAATCCTTTCATTTTCACTGCATTGTTCCCTTTCCTTCAGAAAAATTCTGTGAATTGGATATTATTTTCCCAGTTGTCTAGATAAGGAGATGGAAGCAGAGACTGAGAGGTAAATTATGTATAGTCAGTGCATAAGTGTAGAGGATTAATGAAAGAGACCTCTGCTGACTGTTGTGCCCAGCAGAGAGGGTAATTTTGCTATAAGGTGTCATTGAAAGATTCCCACTGATAGATGTGAGAAAAGAACTGGTCAGTGCAATGGGCCTGCACTCTGTATTTGGAGTCCAGGAATGCTTGTTCCCATCCCAAATATGTTCTTCTAGATAAATTGTCCATAAAATTCTCAACTTAATAGTCTTTCTTATTTCCTGTAAAAAGCCCAGCACAGGCAACCTTAGTAGTACAGATTTTAGCTGTATTGTAGAATGATCAGGCACTGAAAAAGTGGTGAGCTGGCATGGCCTTTTTGGAATATAAGTCTTGTGACATCCAAGGTTTTGGAAGCAACTTCTCCACAGTAACTAAGAGAAAGAGTCTCACTGTGTGTACAACTATTCTCCAAGACTAGCTTTATAAAGAAGAAAGTGGTATTTGCCTTCCGTGCTGGATAGACCTTAGCTGGTGCAGAGTTTGAGCAGTTCTGTCTTTGAAAATACTCTTTCTGGGTTTGCAAATAAATTGCTTTAAAATGTACTTGGAGGAGAGTATTTTTTATCATTTTATAAAACTTTCCACTGTGAAACATTATAAAACTCATTCAGTTCATTCTTTCTACCATCTTCAAGTCAAGGGTTTTGTTTGCCGATTTTCTCTCCTAATCTGAGTGCTGCAATAACTTTAAATCTTCTTGTCAAATTGCTCAAATGAGTAATCTCATGGATTTGTGTAAGTGTGTGAGTGTGTGCCTCAGGGTACAAAAGGACTGCAGTCTTACAGCACTATTTGCCTCCATTGGAGACTTCAACTGATTTGTGCCACTGGTCTTGTAATTCATCACAAGGAAAACTTGTTTTACAATGAATCTTGCAGTATGGGTGTTGAGCCTGAGCATCATTAGTACACGTTGGTTTCTGGGAATGTTCAGGACCTGTCATAACTCAGGTCAGTGGTAGATGTTGGAAGAAATTGTATTCCAGTCACAGAGTACTGTGTCTCTTCCTCTGTATTTAAGCAACCAGTACAGAATACTGTCATAGATTCCAATTTATGAAACCACTTAGGCACACATGAAGCCTTGCTGTCTTGAATTAATCCCATCTGTATGTCCAGGTACGCAAGAATGTGTGTATGACAGTTTTGGAAGGCTTCCTTGTTGTTTTCATTGTTCCCACATACCTGAACGCAGCTTTGTAAGTGCAAGGCAGTTCAGGTACAAGTAGAAGGATTGGGCTCCAAGACTACTACAACAGATAAAGGAGAGTTGAATGCTAAATAAATAAATAATGAAGTTAAATAAAATTAAATATCTGATTCTTCAACATGTGCTTTCAGTTGCTCCTGGTATGAGCAAGGGAAAAATCAAAGAATCAAATAGCTAAAAAGGAATTTGCATTGTTGGACATAATTTAAATCAATGTCAGGAAACATTCCTGAATTCTTATTCCAGTTACTGTCTTCAAAGGCAGCAGATAAATGGAATTTTCAGGCATTTTCATTTGTTTGCTAAACTACAAAAAAAATGTGTCATGTGTTACTGTAAGTATCTGTGCTATTAAGGGTTTGATCTTGAAAAGGGCAAATCTGCTTTACCTGACCAGAGCTAGTTTAAGTGTGGCTGGAATGGAAAATTACTTTTTCAATAGGCTAATCACAAGGGCAAAACTTGGATAGGATATCACAGAGAGCAGTGTCTTAAATTCAGCTGAGATAACTGGGAAAAATGAATTGCCCAATGTGAAATTCTAGTTTCAATGATTTAGATAAAAACTTTCTGCTGGTCATGATTTTATTTTCCAAGTTTTTTCATGTTTTGTAACAGGTTGCCATACAGGGTTTTTCTTTAATTTTGGGGTTGTTTATGTTAGGATTTTTGTTAGTTTCATTTTCTTTTTCTTTTCTTCTCTTAATAAGCTAAGACAGCACTTAGCACTCATTTTGATTTCAGACTTGTTTTAGCCATTGTACAACTTCATCAGGTTTATGGCAAAATCAAGTCCCTTTTTATGTTTCATTAGAAACTACTCTCAAAGGATTAGATTCTCTTTTCTCCTTCCCTCCCACCCCTCAGGATGAAGAGTGATTGTCCAAGAGTACTTTAGCTGTCCTTATTTTTCATTATCATGCAATTTTTATTTAATTCAGCTGCAGACATATTGATAGAGCGGGTGCCCAGGATGGCTAGTGGTCTGCCTTACAATTGTATGGATACGCATAAACTTTGTCTTGGCGTATGCTGTATTTCTGCAATCCAGCTGAAATGTGTACTTCACAGTGCAGCTGAGCCGTTTCTTTGCAACAGGCTTTATTAATCCTAATCTTTTGATTGCCAGGATCTGAGTTTGCTCAGGCACCACCAAGATCCTTCCTAGTTGTGGATGTGTCACTATGGTGGTGTGTGTCTCTCAGGCTACATGTTTTTCATACTTCAGGGAATGAGTTTCAGAATACCAGTGGAAACAAAGGTGATGAAATGATACTGTTTCAGAGCAGCAGTGCAAAGCTAAAAAGAAGGGGAGAGACCCAAAGTTTTTCTCTTCTTTCTTGTAGCAGGCAAGCTGAAGCAATGGCTTTGGCCAAACGTGACACTGAAGATACATTCATTGAAGCACAACTCCAGCAGACTTTGGCTGACCTGGATGAAGACTTAGAAGGTAGGAAGATGTGTTACCTCTTCAGAACAAAGGAGAGAGTAATAACCAGTAGATGCAGAACAATGCAATTGTACTTTGAGGCGTCCTCTACATTTCTCACTACGACCACTGGGAACAACTCTCGGGTCTGTGGCAGAATGTGATCCACCCAAAGTGGCTGCTCTCCCTTTGCTTCAGGAGCAGCCACCTTTTATAGGCTCGCACTGAATATTTTTCAAATTGCATATCAGATCATCATTGTGTTTCAGTGTCTGCTACCAAAAAGAGATGAACAGTAGTTAATTATAGGCCAAATTTGATATAATTCCACTGACTTCAGTGAAGCTAAATCAGTTGTGAATTTAGGTCTGTGTTTAAATGAACAATGCCTCTGTTTTGTATTTTATCATAGTGAAGTGGAGAAAGGATGGGACATTTTTGTAGCCAACACCTCCTCTGTGTTAACAGGCATATTTAAAAGTTAAAAATGAGAAAACATCAATCAGTGGGAAGAGATAGAATGTCATATTGTACACCTCTTTTTCCTACTGTGTATTAAAAATACTTCTCTATTATTGGTTTGTCACAAAATGGCATTCAATACTTTTTTAAAACTTCCTGTCTTTATTTTAATACTTCTGCAGTGGACTTGATTCTGATTTGATTTCTTGTGAGTTCTCTAACATGGAAATTCCTTAGCTTCTGTTTTGTAACCTTTGATTTATACCAGTGAATTTGAAAGGATATTTAAGCTTCTTGCACAATGATGCTTCTGGAGTCACTGGTAATAAAGGGTGAGAAGAGTGAAGAAAAAATAAAAGTACTGTTTCTTTGTTTGCTTGTTCAAGGAAATCCTTCAGCTGGGCTGTTATTACTAACCAGGTCTGGGAAACATAATTTGGAGTTGCTTGGTGTTTCTCAGAAATGTTTCTCCTTTGGAGCCATGCAGTGAAATGTTTATCACTGAGATAAGTTAGTCAAAGATAAGGTATGAACAATAGATGAAATTCTCCTTTCAACTCTATTTGTATGTTTCCCACCGGCTGAAGCAGGAGGACTGCAGGAATATTTGGCTGATCGTAATCAGCAGCCAGACAATAAGAAGGACCCAGACCTCTCCTTTTTTTGTAATGCAAGCATAAAAATATTCTTGTTACTTTTAGTGAAACTAAAATATCTGGTCTGCTTAAGCTTGTGCTAGCTGTTTGTGTAATTTAAAGTCATACTGCCTTAATACTGCCAATATGTAATGTTGTATGTATATTTTGCAGCAGTGGATGGTATGAGTAACTCTGACTCTGACTACATCAATGAAGCATTGAACCCACGTATAAGAAAAGTTGAGGCTGCCCAAGATGTTTCCGTTTCTGTTCCAGTAACAGTCATAGATGATGCTCCAGAAGTTAGCACCTCTAACTCAGATGAAAATCAAGAGGTGGAGATGAGGGTTCCACAAAATATCTCAACCTACTCCGTTAATACAGGAAACTTCACAAACAAAAACAACAATGCAAGTTCCTTTGATAAGGGACACACAGATGGTGGAGCTGTGTGCATATCGAAGGACCTAATACATCAGCAACCATCTGAAAATGAATTCAGTCATTTGCCTGTGGAACAGCGGAGAGATATGTTTGAATCTCTCACATCCTCCTTTGAAAAAAGAAGTGAAAAGAACTTAAGACTGGAACCCCCTCTCAAACATGGTGTGAAGTCTGAGGAATGTAAATCTAAGCTGAGTCCATCTCACTCCAAGACCACAGCTGAAATCAATACAGCAAAAGAGAAGCTAAATCCATATAATGAATATAGTAGCAGGGAAAGATCTCTGAAAAAAAGTAAATCAGAATTAGAAATCAAATGGCCACCAGCAAAAAAAGTGGAAGTAGAAGAAGTCCCGTCAGCACCTGCATGGTGTCATCGTGCCCAGAATTCAGGATCGAACTATGAACCTAAAATGGGTTTGACAACCTTTAAAGTTGTCCCTCCCAAACCTGAAGTAAGACATTTCGATAGAGGAGTTTCACTCTCCACTGGTGCCATTAAGATAGATGAACTAGGCAACCTTATAGGCCCAAACACTAGTGTTAGTAAACACATATCAGGTTCTTCTTCTGATGAAAGTGAGGAAATTCATATTGGGAAAGTGAAGGCATTCTGGAGGTCAAGTTCTATGGAAAAGCAAAGTGATGACTCTGCTGAGCATTTTTCTAAGAAGTCAGCAGTCACCGCAAGCTCTAAGCCCTTTACTGTTAAGCATGAACACAGACCTGTCTGTCTTGCAGCTCCAAAACCTGTAGCACCACAAACAGTTATTACCCAGGTAGCTGAAAAACAGTCTGAGAATGAAAGGACCAAACTACCTCTTCCAGTTACACAGTCTCAGGTAACACCATTAGCAGCCCCAACCATTAATAAGGACAAGCTGGAACTTCCATTTGTAAAGCCACATAGGAGAACTTCCAGTCAGTATGTTGCCTCTGCCATTGCAAGACACATCAATGCAACTACGTTTAAGTCTGACTCTGTGGAATATCATGAGAAAGACGAAAACAAGCAAGGGGCAGGAGAGGCTAAGACTGAAGCAGAAGTTTCACCAAAAAGATGTATTATTGTGGCCAAATATAGCCCTGTGGAAACAGAATCAGCAGAAACAAGAGAAACACTTTCAAGTGTTTTTACTTGCAGTCAGAAAGCATCCCACAGGTTTACACCTGGTGATAATTCTGGCTCGGAAAACAAAGTAGTTAATATCAGGGCACCAAATCAAGCAGCTCCTCTGAGTTTCTATAAAAAGAATGGCAGTGTCCCACTTACTAAATCCTCTTCAAAGGATAACAACAGTGCAGAAGAGGATCGTGGTTTAAACAGCAAACAAAATACAGCAGAGAAAAAGACACGTCTCATGTTTGACCAGAAATGTGAGACTTTGACCCTTACGAGTTCAGCCTCATCTCTTAAGTCTCCTGACCTCCAAGGAGTCCCATCCTCTTTCAGCTCATCTTTGCGAGTCACTAAATGGCCTCCTGCTAATGGTGTTCAAGTTAGTTCACTTAAAGCTTCATCTGAGTTAAATGGTGCACCAGCAAATGCGGAGTCAGAACAGGAGGAAAAAATTGATGATTCAGATATTAATGCTGTCAGTGAAGTGGATGTTAATGTGCAGACCAATATCTTTGGACCAAAGAAGAAGTTCAAGCCTGTCATCCAGAAACCAGTTCCAAAAGACACGTCACTGCACAGTGCCCTAATGGCAGCCATTCAAACGGGAGGGGGAAAGGAGAAACTCAGAAAGGTAAAGTAGAAACATTTTTAAGCCTGTTCAGACTGGAGAGCCCTGTATTCACCCTGTCAGACACCAGAGGTTTTATAACTGGTACAGTTGCTGGTGAGCTGGAGAACACAAGGCATTTGAAAAATTTATAATGGCAAAATATAGACCAAGCTGCTGCTTCTTCTGCATATACTGTATATTATGCAACACCACGTCTGCTGCACTAGCTAGAAGAGGCAGAGGGTGCATAGACACAGTATAAACAAGAGGTCATGAAGGTTAGTCTAAGAGCTGAACCCTCATTTCAGTATGTTATGTAAAAACAGGAACACACAGCGTGGAGAAAACCTGTAAATAACTACAATGAAAGAAAACTGCGTTTTGTCTTCCTAGGGCATAATAGTATTTTGCCACTCACTTCATGCTCAGGAGATACGAGACTGCATCTCTAAGTACAACATTACTATCTACACATATCCTCACTGTTCAGCGTAAGCAGGCCCAAAAAAAAACCAGACTGATCAGTCTTCATAGTTTGCATTCTGGTACAAGTGCCAAAAAGTGTTTCCAAGCTATCTCTAAGTAAATATCTAATAACAATGTGAGGTTTATTCCTTTCATATTCTAGGTTTCAAACAGTGCACTAAATGGCAATCAGAAGAAACCTTCATATGCTGAGCCAGAGAATGCACGCTCAGCCCTACTAGCAGCAATTAGAGGCCACAGTGGCACCTCAAAGCTGAAAAAGGTAAGAAATCAAGATGGTAAGTGATCTTTAAAGTGCAGTCTATTTTTACTGGGTGTTTTGAATAAACCCAGATATGCCACAAACTAAATGTTGTGCTGCAAAGGGAGAAGTTGAGAGGCAAACCATATGACATTTGACCAGACATGACTTAGGTAGAAAGTATCACAAGTCCGATTCTATCCTCTGCTATAAAACTTTAACTCTTTCAAATGGTGTGCTTTTAACTTAGAAAGAGGGACATAGAAATCCAAACCAATCACAGGGAGTGTACATAGAAGATATCAAATGTTCCTCATTTTCACATTTAGGTGGGGTTTTTCTGTAGAATCGTAGAATCATGGAATCACAGAATAGTTTGGGTTGGAAAGGACCTTAAACATTATCTAGTTCCAACCCCCTACCATGGGCAGGGACACCTCCCACTAGACATGGTTGCTCAATGCCTCATCCAACCTGCCCTTGAACACCACTGGGGATGGGGCATCCGAAGCTTCTCTGAGCAGAGAAGTTGTCCTTCAGGAGTATGCAGTTAGATTAATGTATTTGCATGACCTACCCTATACATCCAGTCGCAGTTACCTGAAAACACACTGGAGCTTCTTCATGCTGTTTATCTGCTAACATGGTGCATGCAAGTAGTATGCAAGTACTTGATTTTGATGTTTCATCAACATACACCACAGCAGGATGACTCCTTCTCTCTGATTTACCTAATCATTAAAGCATCTCTTGTTCCTAATAGCCAAAACCTGTATCATTCTAGCCTTAGTAATCACTCAGTTGACTAATCCAACCAAAGATGTGTTCTTGGCATGGAGATTCCCATTTCCCTCGTGCAATGACTCAGATCATTAGCACATATCCAGATAGCTGGCATTAGATAGAAAAAGTCTCTTCCTCTGTTAGGGAATTACTTCATCGCTCAAATATCCTACTGCGCTTGCTGCAGGTAGGGTACAGCTTACTCTGACCCTGTGAGCAGGATGTGCTAGCCAGCAACAATCTTCACATATACTGAATTGTGTTCTGCATTCATTGGGAATAAATGCAGATTTGTGTAAAAGAGGGTCTGACGATTAAGTGGTAGTGTGTCATCACAGAGAATTTTTGGAAGACCTTCCTCTGGCAGAGAAGCTTTTGCCATAATTTTAGAGGAAGTTGCCTAGAAACCATACACTTCCTTTTCACACCGTGTCACCTGTGCTAGTTAAATGACCATGTTTATATGTATACAGGGCACAGCACAGATGTGCTATGATGAAAGGGCTGTCCTTTTTATGTTATCTCAAATGTTCATGTTTTATCCAACATGGTGTTATACTCATATATATATTGTTTGTGTACAGTGAGGGAATAGAATACAGGAGCTTTCTGTGGATTATTTAGTGGGAGATGAATCCTTTAATTTTTCACCACTGAAGTTCTGTGTCTCAGTTTCTCTGAGAAGAGAATTCTAATGGATCTGCTTAGAAACCTGCTATTTGGCCCGTGATGCTGAATTTCCTAGTAATTGCCAAATAATTGTAATTACAAACAATTTATCATGATTATTACTAGTAATGGTGTTAATGGCAAAAGTATCTCGAGACAGTTGATAGAAAAGCTGGCTTAGTCTGAAAGATTGTCTTTTTCACGTGCAAGCATTTGAAGTACAATGAGTTTCCAAGCTGCTAACTCGTGCAGAGATTTTAGTTTCAGAAATTCCACAGAAACACACTTGGAAGAATAATCAATTGATTTTGCTCTCAGTGCTTTCACATAGTTCTCTCTGGTCCTTTTTTTTTTTTTTTTTTTTCCCCAAGTATGGCTGGAAACTTTGGGTTTAATGGCATTTTTTTCAATGAAGCAATGTCTGAGAGCTCAGATCTGGAAGAGCATCCCTGTCATCTGAGATTATTGCTGTGCAGCCTAGACTGCAAAAAAGTAATTAGATTCCTGGGTGGCTACTGCAGCCTTAATATATCTCCCTGATTCCAAAACCCTTGTGGTTGTTTTCAGATTAATACCAAGTCCAACTTTCTCTCTTACCTTACATGCCAAGAAAAATTACAGGATGCTGGATCTCACAGTAAATAAAGATTGAGTTTCTGAGGCAGACTCAATGCCAAAATCTCAGTGCTAGTAATCAGCCCAGCTGAGTGATGTGAGTGAGTAGTAACAGATGTTCGACCCCATGGGCAAACAAAAGTTCTATGTGTTTTGCATCATTCAAGCAAAATGAAATTGGGGTACTGAAAGTGCATCATCTGTCAAATAATTACAGTTTAGCCGTGCTTGATATTAATCACCTTCTTTCATCTGCATCATGAGCAGATCTCCTCACTGGCCTCCTGAAGAGCTGCAACGTTTCAGGGACGCAGAACTATCCTTGCAGAAGGCAGAAGACCTTCAGGAAGAACAGCTTTGTATCCCACCTGCCCCTGCCCAGCCACCACCACCACCTCCCATTCAGCTGTCAGCAGGGGCTCCTAAATCCTCTGCCACAGTTACAGGTAACCCATTGGAGGCAAGGCAAGCTCTAATGGAGGCCATTCGCTCTGGTGCTGGAGCAGCAAAGTTAAGAAAGGTAAATGTCCTTTTATATTTTACTGTGAATGAAACAACCTATGCTAGCTGTGTTTTTAAGCTGTTTGAGACACACATTTCTTTCTTCCATCAGGAGAAGGTACATGTACTGTTTTCCCTAGCTGAATCAAAGGTTAGGAATGTATTTGAAACCTTTGAACAGCTAATGAAACACACCTGTGCACTTATACAACAATTTGAATACTCAATACTTTTTATTAAAAGAGACAATCAAGAGCCTGTGTGTAATTTCAGAAAGTGTTTTCATTACCTTTTCATTCTTGTGCATCTGAGATAATGCTGTTATGTCCTTTAGACAAGGTGAACTTACAGATATGAGACCCTGAAGGAAATTTATAAATAAGTACTCTCTCCTAATTCCAGTAGTGTGTCCTAGACCTTGATTCTCAACACTTACACCTTGGTTACATGTGCTGAGAGCTGTCAGTAAAACTAGGAGGTCAGTTTAATGTCTGCCTGAACTTTATTAATTGAGTGGTGTGTGTTTCACTTCTGTGATCAGCTGTGAATCAGTCGTCTCCCAGGTGGCTAAATGCTCTGTTGCCTGTGTGTGATTTTTGGATAAATTCACTAACCTCTGATCAAAGTTTTTTCTTCCAAATCTCAAGTTACACTGCATTTCTTGGTAAAGAGAAACAGATCGATTTGCCTTAGTGGAAGCATCCCAATGTTACAATGCAGTATCCAAGAATGGACTTTGATCCAGGGATTTTAGGGAGTGTACAAAAGCAGATGTAGTTTTCCCAACACATGATTTAGCTGATGCCAACCATAAATGTGTAAACAGTCTTTAACCTTGCATACTTGTCCTCTTTTAAATAATGAAAAAATATGCTCAAATTATAACATTTGAAAGTAGCCAAAAAAATATGATTTCTAATAAACCAGAAATTCCACAGAATCATACAAATGGCACAAACAGATCAGTGTTTCAGGGAAATTTACATCGGCATGTTCTGATTATATCAGAAATCTGGATGTGCCGTTATTTTTCATGTGAAAAATAACCCCTTTGCAGTCATTGTCTTCCTCAAGGAGGGCAGCTGAGGGGCAGGTGCTGATATCCTCTCTTTGGTGACCAGTGATAGGACATGACGAAGTGCAGGGGAAGTTCAGATGACCATAGGAAAAGATTCTTCACTGAGAGAGTGGTTGGTCACCTGAACAGGCTCCCTATGGAAGTGGTCACAACACCAAACCTGTCAGATCTTGGTGAGCATCTGGATGATGCTCTTAGTCATATGTTTTAGTTTTAGGCAGTCCCATGAGGAGCAGGGAGCTGGACTCAATGATCTTTATGGGTCCCTTCCAACTTTAGATACTCTGTGATTCTAAGAGTACAAATTTTTAAGAAATCAGGCCTTTTTTTCCCTATGTAACCAACTGACAGAAAAAAACCAGGATTTGGACATTCAAGGATACGTGATGCAGTTATTTTCTGGATCCTTCCAAATTTCTTTTTCTTCCAATTGCATTGCTCTTGCAGAAGTCTCTGAGGCAATGAGTATCTCTACTCATGAAACCGAGTCTTTATCATTTCTTTGTGGATTTGTTTCAAAACACTTGGATAACCAGTGCAGGCCATGAAAGTACAACAGATATTCTCACATATTCTACTAAATACTGGGCCTGTCTAGTTTCATTTCCAAGACAGATTAAATTTTTGTGAGTTTTGACATTGAAACAACAGAAGAGTATGTGTCATTATATAGGTCTTTTATGAAAATAAAAGAGAGCAATGTTTTGTCCAAGACAGAGTATGATTTCTGGAAGATTTTGGTTGCAGCAACTAGACAGCAGAGTAGGTGGTTCAGTTCAGTAATGGCATCTGTTTCTCTTCCATTGTCTTCTCAAAGCTTTCTGGGGCAAGGGCTTCTGACAGCAAAGTCATTTATTTAGCTAATATTGTGGAGAACTGGGAAGAATCTGTATTCCTTAGTTATGTGTGATTCAGTGCTTATTTATGAAGGGCTATTTGCAATGGAAGCAGATCAAACAGGGCTGTCAGTGGAACCATATGTAAAAAGCAACCAATTGCCTAGATAAGGAGCATCCCAACAAACATTTGAGCTCTAGTAATATCTGTGAAAAGGCAACTCCTCCACTCCTCCCCTGATTACACAGCTATTTGCTAAAGTCATGAACTTTAAGGTTAAAAGATCCACTATGCAGGAAGGGAGGAGAAAAGTTGCTGGAGGCTGACCTTGCCTTGCTGAGAGTCAAGGTCTGCACGGCACAGTCTCTAAGTGGGTCAGCCAAAACAAACCAGAGCAGAAATAGGTGCTTAAGGGAAATACTATGTATAGGTAAGACAGTATGTTCATAAGTCTCCTGGCTCTTCTTTAATCCATTTCTTGGAGTACTGTGCCTACTTTGGCAAATAAATCACCCTTTGTTTTCAAGAAACGGCTTCTGTTTTATTGCACTCACTGTCCACACACTCCTGAAGGAAAATTCTTGGGGGTGCCAAGCCCAATTGGGCCTGCTCAGTAAAATGGTTCATCCACAGTGCAGGGCAGTTCAGAGACCTGCCAGAAAGTGGTTACACTACAGATCCTACCTGAAGGGAGCAGAAACACAGGCATGTTACAGGAACAAGGTGAACTTATTTACCAAATTGGAAAAGACCTGACAAAGTGCAGGAAGTAACATTTTTCTTCAGTTTTTGAAATGGTCTGTCAAGGAACCTGGCAGTTGTTCAACACATCCAAAGTATAACAGCAAGTCAGGGAGGTGGCGTCAAGTAAAGCCACCAACTGTAATGGCTGCCCCAGTGCCTTTGGTGACTAATTGTCTTCAGAAATAAACGTGTCTCACTGGTGAGGAGCCTGCTTCCCAGCTGTGCAGTCTGCCTCGTGCAAAGGAGAATCGGTTAATCTAAGAAATAAACAGCTGATTTGAGACCAGATTTTGGCTAATTCTGGTGGGCAAAACTCAAGTCATAGAGCTGTACCGTTTGAGCTTCTGATATTAAAAGTGAACTAGAGTTTTTCTTCAGTTGTGTCAAACAGAACCACATGGTGAAGATCTATATGTCCAGTTTTTAACTTTCTATTTCCCATCTCAGAAAATGCAAAATAACCTAGCTAGATTTCTGAAATTCTGTGTATCAATGCATGTGTATTTTTGGTTTTGTGTAACTTGCCTTGGCATTTACCATGATTATCTGTGGAAAAAAACATAACTACACATGCAAATAGCCTGTAAGATGTCTAGCTGTAGGTATAGTTGCAGCACAAGTCCATGCAGGATTAAAAATCTTACCAAAGAAGAGAAGCTATAAAAGTTGCTTTAGTTTATATGCCATCCATTCATTTTAGGTAGAGTTGTACCCAGGGATTTGGTAGAAATACTACAGGGGAATGTGCCTGCAAATGGTGGAGAAGGCAAGTTATATCTCTGAAGAACAGGCTCATGGTAAAATGAGCCACTTCTTAGAGGTATGTGCAAGGGAGATTCTGCAGATTCCATGTATCTTCCAGTAAAGAGGCTGCACCAAAGCAGCCCTTTCTGTGTGCTCACTGAGATTTTAAAAATTATTTGGCTCCATCACCATATCCACAAGTATTCATGCCGATGTTTGGCATAGGCATTAGGTCACGTGAACTCCTGATAACGTGCAGTGTATCGTTCTGTTGGCAATCAAAGGAGCCAGGTAAGATAGTTATTGCACCATTGCAATGAGTCCATGGTGTACGCTGGGGTAATTTGGAGTTGGTTGTCAACAAGTAACACATTGATCTGAATTGTGGCACACTGAGTGTCTTCTAGGAAGCATGGCCTAGTTCCATACCTTTATGTCAAGCAGTGGCCTGTTCTTCTCACATAAGCAGAGATACATAATTGTGAATGAACAAATACTGTTTCTTATCATCAGTATCTGTGGGTGCAATGACAGGATTACAGACTCAAAGCCACAGTTAATGTTGGCTTTGGTAGGCTGGAAAAGGGGCAGGAGGCCCCACAATAAGGTTGGCCAAGCTTGATATACAGGTAGTCAAATAAGCCTATGAAGTGATTCTAGTTCCCATGCACAGTGAGAGGCGGGCATTTGCATGCTGTTACTGTTTGAATTGAAAGATAAAACTTAACTTGAACTCTTCACCTTGCTAATAATTTATACCATGACCTATTTTTTTACTCAAGAATAAAGCTTCTGCCAAGGATACTAAGGCCAAAATGGAAAATTTAGACTTGATCAAGTACATATTCCTGTTTAGTTTTTGCAGTGACCTCAAAGTATATCTCTGTGATAGAATCAAAGCTCAGTAACTTTGAATTTGGAAGAGCACCTGAGCATATGTATTTAAAATTAAGCATATGCTTAGATGACCTGAGGACTGGGAAGGAAGATAAGCATTTGTTTAAGTACTTTTCTGAATCAAAGCCATTGGGAGTTTCCTTCTTTTAATCAGGAAGCAAAGTACTCATCAATTGATTTTTATGGCCAGTGACAGCTAGCTGACACAGAATAGATTTTGACTGTCAGATGTTGCATCCTCACATCCTGAGTTTCTGTTCGTTCCACAAAATGAAGGACTTTCAGAGAAAAATGCATCACCTATGTTCCAGAAATCGTGTAATTACAACCTAAATAGCTGCAACATACATAAGTAGGTATGAGTTGTGGGCTTTTTAGGGAAGGATAGCACCTTTCATTAGACCAACTGATACAGCTAGAAAAAAACAGATAAGCTTTAAATAGTCCCAAGGAGCAGACGAAGAGACCAAGCTTGAAAGCAGCCTCACAGGAGAATGTTTGGTTAACAATGTCAACAGTTGGAGGTTTAAAAATATCTTGAATGATCATGTGCTTTTCTTTGTTATAGGTCCCTCTGCTTGTTTGAATCATATAAAAAGAACAGATAATTGGAAAATCTAACCCCGTATGCATCCATAATCATCATTCAAGCTCTGAAGTGGCAAAAAACATCAAGAAGTTTCGTATATTCTCTTGTCTACAAGCCAAAATAAGTTGTAGTTAATTTTCTGTGTGTTTCTGCATAATCATTCTTAGGGAGAAATATGTTGCTCTGCTGTAAAGCTTCTGTGCCAAGGAATTGTGTTTTGCCTCTGAATATTTAAGGTTGCCAATAAACCATTCTCGTTGGCAAGTTAATAAGAATATAAACACTGTGCAGTCCTGTGTTAATACTTAATTGTATTTATGAGCAAAATTAAAAACTTTACTAGCTATCTGAGAAGTAATACTCATTTTAAATTGTTAAAAGCATTTCAAACTATTTCAAACTATTTACTTGCTTCTTATTTAATTTCAGAAAGGGCTGTAAATGGTTGGAGTGAAAACCAGAATAAAGGTCTATAAAAAACAATCATAAGAAAAACGTTATGGTACCTCAGTTGTCGTATGCTGGGGTCATTGGTTTTGAAAATTAAATTAGCTTTGTATCTCTGATGGAGCTCGGAGAAAGCAGGCAATTAATAATGAATGTGAGACAGTGTCTATTGCATATGACGTGTTACTTATGGGATATGACGTATAGAATGCTAATGTGCAGACATATGCTGAACCCTAGTAACATTCAGAAGTATAGTAATACTTCAGAAGTATTGAACCACCTTAAAGGATCTCTATTTGCAACAGACTGTGAAGGTGTTAAATAAGATTAAGAGTCCTGCATAGAGGTCCAAGATGTAGAATTCATTCCTGCACTGCAAAGTGAAGTGAAGCTGGTTTATATCAGTAATCAGGACTTTTATGTACTCTTGTTCAGATCATGCATAAGTTGGCCCTTTGTTTCTAATTTGTATTTGTATGGCTGTTGTATGTTGTCTCACAAGTATTTATAGCAACATCTTTTTTCAAATATTAACTACTTTGGTAGTTGTTGTTGTACATATTTTGAAAATATTTCGTTAAATTGATTAAGTTAAAAAGAACAAATAAAAACGCTTTTTCACATTTCCGATATTGTAATGAAACTGAAGAAGAGGAATTTGTACATTTACATTTTTATAATCATCGACTAGAGTGGGGGCAGATTCTTTTTTTTTTTTTTTTTTTTTGAGCTGGAATTTCAAGTGTATAGTTATGGACTGCTGAAAGCACAAGAATATTTAGCCATCTGCATTTAATGTGACTATATATTATATATTGTAAAATATTGATATCTGTTAGTGCCACGAATAAAAACAAAATCAAAACCTGACATGGCTTCAAGTGGTCTTTTTGCCAAATATTTTCCACTTACAGAAAAAAATTAGAACTAGAGATGGACTTAAGCAAACCAGTATGCTGTGCTTGATATCTCAAGTCTAATATGAAGTGTCTCAAGCCAGAAGGAGCTCACAACTAACAGCCTAGTAATGCAGTAGAAATCACCAACTAGAATCAACATGTCACTTAATATACATTTCAATAACGATGCAGTACTGATAATGTTCCATTTCCTCATTAGGAAAGCTAATATATTCAGAATTAAGGTGCTCTGTCGCACCGTAGGATAAATCAGATAACCTTTGTTGATTGTGATTAGCCTTCTTTTGCCTTAAAAGTCTTCTCAGTATGCTGAAGATCAGAAATACTAGCATATTTCTTCATCACAGAAGAAGATTCAGTCACTAATAAGTTTGAATGCTACAGATAGTCCAACCAGCAGCAAATACAGATTCCTTTGTTCAGTGCTGCAAGGCAAAATTCAGTGCAGGTCTTCTTCTTGTTCTTAGCGTTGCCTGAAGGCCCTGGGTGCATAGCCTCTCCTTACTAGCACCCTTTTAGTATAATAAGTTATATGAGTACTTACTTTTCAATGTAAGGGATTCAAAACTAGATTGTTGGATGATAATATCCTCTGGGCTTCACAATGCAAAAGTTCTGGTTGTAGGTGCTGGCACTGCATAGAACTAAAGTTTCTAAGTGTTATTCCTGAGTAAACTTCTGAGTACTTAATTCCCATGGATAAAACATTATAAAAAAAAAAAGTACAAGATAGATGTCATTTTCACTGTGACAGCAAAAAACCAAAAAAATTACAAAAAATCCTGATGGCTCAGTCACACCTCAAACTAAAAATTGAGGAGGAGTTCAGCTGTCTACAGTAGGAAGTCTAGGCTGGGTGTTCATTCTCTTCTCATGTTGATGGGAGTTGTGCCTGCTCTTATGTTGTAATCCAGGTGCTGTTGGATTCTTGGTAACAGCTCGATTTAACCCCAGGTGAATGCAGATTTTATTATAAACTCCTTTATAATAGTCCATATAGAAACTTTCTATTAAAGTTTTTAGTAGTAACAATGTTTAACTCATCCTAAGTTAAAATAAAAGCCCTGAAATGTGCCTGTTAAAGACATTGTGTCCTAAGCACGAGGTATTTTCATCTATATGGCTGCTCTTACTGTCCCACACTGTTTGCTAGTGCAGACATAGCCTGTGTCTGGGGGTACATACACAGGCTGCCAAGGTTAGTCCCTGACACGTCCCGTCACGGCACCTGTAGCTGCACAGTCTGCAGGCTGCTTTCATTTCTGAACGACTGAAAGAAGGACAACGAGCTCCCCTTTTCCTTAGTGTATCTCTCAGCCTAGATTGCCCCCACGCACTTTTGCCTCAGTTCAACCAGAGGAAAGAGTCTGATGCATGCCTAACTCATCTGACCCTTTATGTTGTCTTTGTTAGTAAGAGATTAAAATGAGGTGAAAAAATGGTATCACTAGAGAAACAGAATGGAGAATTTGGATTTGGTATCTTTATTTCTTGTAAATCTATGTTCAGAGCTTAGAGAAGTCCAGCCTAAAGTCTCAAATAAAAATTTGTATGTCTCCCCTCCCTTTTTCTTACTTGTTTTTATTAACTTTTTTTTAAACTTGAGTTTGGAGTATTACTCAACCATTAAGCAAGCATTAAATCTCTCTTTAGACATTTAATTTTAAATAATATTGGTTGTCTGCATGAGCAGACTTACAGGACTTCATTATAGATTATTTTTTTTTGTAGAAACAGACTGCTAATGCTAGTCATGCAAAGTACTGGGCCTGAAGACCTCTTGACATACATATCAATCTACAGACTTTCAGACATGGCAGGGTCCAACTTCCCCAGCTCATACAAGCGATTTGCACAATTTATGCTACAGCCAAAATAATTGGCACTTTATCAGTGTGTAGGAAAAAAGAAGAGAACAAGAGATGCATTTATGAAACAATGGAAAATGCCACTCTGGGATAGCTTTCCGTCTAACCTCTTCAGAAAAGAAAGAAGAAGTTTTGTTGTTGGGTGCTGTTTAGCATTAAGCACGAGGTTTATTATGAATCCAAAGTTCTGCACGAATCTTGATTTGAATCAGTTTGTCTGAATGAAATGTTTATAAATTGGTTCTTTGTTGGTGCAGTATGAAAAATAGTTGTCTCCTGCAACCGTTAATTAGCAACTTTTACATATTTAGAGTATTTATTTGTGTGTATTGTTTCTCTACTCATCTCTAATCCTCTGCTGAGTTACATATGCATTGTGCTTTGCCTCTGAGACTTCTGTTAAGATTTATTAGATTATTCCCATTTTTACTCCATTTGTTGCTGCTGACCACACACAATAAAATATGTCATGCCCCTGCTATAGCTTTAGCTGCCATAATGGTTGCATTCCCCTGCTTGCAGAAAATTACCATTGCAATGATGGTTGAGTTCCTTTTTTAAACATAAAATGAAACAAAGAAACTCCTGATTTCTCAGTAATGTCCACCTGGATTTGATGCATCACTATTCTGATCTGCTTTTCTCTTTTGTTCCTGAGTAGCGTAGGGAGTTTGATTCGTTGCTGATGTCTTCGTTTGGGTGGAGAAAGTTTCCATGTAGTTGCATTCCCAGGGTTGTTCATCAAAGTATGCTAAGATGGATTAAGATGAATGAACCTAAGAGCAAAAAATAAGTACTCTTTTTTTTTTTTTTTTTGGTTACTATTACTGAAGATTATTAAGTATTTGTTAAATAAATATAATTTTTTTAAGTACTAAAAGGCTACATGATACTACATCAGATATAAAAGTCCCTCTCTCCTGTATTTGTCTAAGAACTTGAGGATTTTTTTTGTCCTTTTTTAAACAGTTTTCTGATTTATTGCAATATTGAAGAGTTCAAAAAGAGATAGAAAATAGAACTACTTAACAGGAATATTGTGTTTTTCACACTTAAGGATTTTAGGAACAAGCTTGCTTCCGTAGTCTGTTCCCTCCCATCACTCATTCCATATGTACAGGAGCACACACAGAGTCTCCTTCATCGTTTCAGAAGGTTGGGAATAGTTAAAAAAGCATCTCTACCATGGGATCCTTTTCCATTTTTAACAGTATCTTTTTTTGTCCTGTAAAATAGGAACTTTCAGAAAGTCAGGGACTAAGTTTTGACGCAGTCACAACAGCTATATGCAGTCACTGCTGGAAGCAATGTCAAATCCAGTTCCAGATAATGCTATCTTCAGCTAATTTCTTTTCCTTTTTTTTTTCTCCTTCTTTTTTGTCTGTGGACTGATAAAAACATGTACATGCCATGTCTCTTTTCTGAGGTCATTATTGTGCTTGAAGCCCTAAAAGGTTTTCCCCTGAACAAAGCATAGTGATGTTGCAGTTGAACACCAGACTGAAAGAAGACATTATTCATAAACAAACACCACTGTCCAGTTTGCAAGTCAGGAGTTGAAAAAGGAAACCTTATTTGAAAGAACAAGACTGTGGAACATCATTGTCTTCTACATTGGAACCTGTGTTTACTGCGATGCAAACAAAGCAAGCACAGTGCAAACAGGCATGGGTTTCCTTTGTCTTGTTTCATGTGTTCAACAGAGGGTTTTCTGTCAGAAACTCTGGCATTTGCCCCTTGTAGTGCTTGGCACGGGTGAGTAGGTCACAACTTGAGGGTTCTGATTTGGGCAGCAAGGGCATCACTGATGGGTTGTATCACTGGTTTGGGTTTGTTTTTTTTTCCTTGTGATAAGCCAAAATGTGATTTGATTTAGCCAGTAGTCAAGATGGCAAACCAAGTGCTTCTGCTGAAGCAATGAGCAAAGGCTCCACAGGTGGACAGCAGTTGAGGTGGAGAGTGATTCGTGATCCATCGTTTGCCAACTACAGTACCCAGATCCCAGCAGCCTGTGCAATTTCTCTTCTTAAACCAGAGGCAATGATAATGCCAAATGGAGAGGGAAGTGGATGCACCTGCTGCCTGACAGAACCTAGGAGTGAGCAACCCAAAGAGCTGCAGCTCTCCCTGCCACAGCAACATGTAACAGTGCAAACAACATACAGGAGGGGCCTCAGTAAGCCGTAGGTCACCAAAACCACTGTTAGATCTGAATTTTGGAAGTTACGATACTGCACATATCTCTGCTGATAACAGCTACCTGGTGGGTTAGTTAGAATGTTTAACACCAGACTCAGCTATCCCCACTATAGACCCTTTGCTGATAAAACCCAGACCCCAGTCCTTCAGTCAGCCCGAATGGTGGCTGTACCTGGTGCACTCCGTAACCAGCCAGAACCAAACACTGGTGGTTTGGCTGACTGCATGTTGCATGTCCCCTTATTCATTAGCCTCCCAGCTAATGTTCCACACTTCCCAACTTATGGAAGAAACTCTCAGAAGCAATTTTCAGACAGCCAGTGCTGCAGAACTGCAAAGAGTTATATTTTTATGTGTTGATGAATAATTTAGCAACAATTCTGTGTTATGTAAAATTACTGCATTACTGCTACTGGGGCCAGCGTTTGTACATAGTGTGCTTCTAAGCCCAGTTATACAAGTTAAAGCTTGCTAGTTCTATCCTGTGCATCTGTCATTAGAGAAAATTTTTCCAGGTTCAAACTGGGAATCAGAGAAGGTCTTTCATTCAGGAAGAGGGGAGTTCCACATCCTCATTTTCCTTTATAGTCCCGATAATCCTAACTATTTCCAAATAGTCAGTTTTGTACTAGGTTGTGTATTAGTGCTGGTTTTCTCCACAGAGGAGGATGCTGTGTAATATTTTTCCATATAAACGCCATGGAAGTCATCTATCCTCAGACAATTGCTTTATATTAAGGAGCAAGCTAGGACATATTTTCATGCAGAGTGGCCACAGGTTTCATCCCCCTACCCTGTAGGGGCATAGAACATGGAATATGGGCAGATGTAGATATATCTGGTTTTGGTTTCAGACTGGAAATTG